CTCTCAATAAAGGGATTGATTAAAACATCAAAGGGTTTCATATTTCCATGCACAACAACTTGTTTTTATGTACTATGGTGAACGCATTAAAATGTCCTGCGGCATTTATCAAACAAAATTTGAAAAGACTACAAACTTGGCCAAAAAAGTAGGTTTTAAAGGCATCTTGAAAGACGAAGAGTGAGGCAGAGAGGTTGAGGGAAGAGAATTCCAATGTTTAGGACCGAGGCACTTCAACGGTGGACTGAAGGAAATTGGGAATATTTGCATCTAGATTGAGCAAATGGCTTGTGATGCTGGATCAGTTGTTAGGTTTAAATTTAAGATAGGTACATCTTTGTTAAACAAAGATATTAAGGGATACGGGCCAAAGGCAGTAAATAGAGTTAGGATACAGATCAGCCATGAACTCTTTGAGTGGCAAAGTAGGATCAAGATGCCAAATGGCCTACTCCTATTTATATGTTAGAATACTGACATGATATATATGGGGGATGCACATATGGGATACATATGGGGATTAAGCATGGAGGATACAGATATAGCATACACATGTGGAATACACATGTAGAATACACAGGGGGACACATGTGGGGATAAACACAGGGTGTAAATATATAGGATACACATGGGGATACACATCTAGGATACACATGGGGATACATATGGAGGATACACATGGGAGTTAAACATGAGGATAAGCATGAGGGATAAACATGGGGGATACATATGGGGGATACACATGTGGGAAGCATATGGGAGATATATATGGGGGATACAAGTGGGGATACACATGGGGGATAAACATGGGCGATACGCGTGTGGGATATATATGGGGATACACATGGGTAATACATATGGGGGATACATATGTGGGATACATATAAGGGATACACATGGGGGATAGACATCGGGGATACATATGGAGGATACATAAGGGAGATACACATGGGGATACACATGGGGGTTAGACATGTGGATACACATCAGGGATATATATGGGGGATACACATGCAGATACACATTAGGGATACACATGCAGATACACATGGGGATACACTTGGAGGATACATGTAATGGATACTCTTGGGGATACATGTGAGGGATACACGTGGGGATACACATGTGGGATACATATGTAGGATACACAGGGGATACATATGGAGAATACATGTGGGGATAAATATGGAGGATAAATATGTAGGATACAGATGGGGGTAAACATGGGGATACACTTGGGAGATACATATAAGGGATACATACATATGGAGATAAACATGGCGATAAATGTGTTGGATAAACATGGTGGATACATATGCGGATAAACATTAGCAATGCACATGGGGTACACACATTGTGGGAGTGCAGAAATGTCAGGAGTTGAGCCAGCAGAGCATTAGAAGTTTGAAAGCAACTACGAAGTGCTGGATGAGAGTTTCTGTTTCAGCAAAAGGCAAAGTGAGGCAAATCTGGAGGTATTTCAGAGCTGAAAGTCAGCCTTTTGAAAAGGAAATATGTGGGTAAAGATTTCTATTTCTTGTCCCCAGCGCAGAGAGTTCACTAATTGGAACGAACACTGGAATATTGTACACTTACAGCCCAATTAAAACAAAACGTCATTGGCAAACATAGTTTCTACCAAAGACAGCAGGAAATTTTCAGCAACACCCTCACTAAGTGCAGGCTGACACTTCTGATCAAAGTCTAAATGTTTTGCACTAAAGATGTGTGTCTCTGTCAAAAACAGGTTTGTTTCTTCGCTCGAGGCCTTCACTCTGGCACTGCTGTGATTAATGCGGTTGGCTTATTTTGTACAGACAAAATGACAAACAATGAGAATCTGAAATAGAAACAGAATCTTCTGAAATCACAGGACACCACAATTCTATAGTGAGCTTCTGAGAAACATTGAGAGAGATTCGTTCCTTCAGAACCGAGCAAAAACCTTAACGAGGACAATACACAATAAAATGCAGGCTGAGAGAAAACAAGTCATTAACTGCTCTTTGAGTCATTTATAGGAATGTAGAGGAGAAGATGTTTCACCCATCAGAACCTGTTGTGCTATAAAAAAAGGCTGCTGGAGAAACTCAGCAGATGATGCAGTATCTGTATAGAGAAAAACAGAGTTAATCTGACTCTTTTTCAGAGCTCGCTTCTTCAAACCTGTTTCTGCTGTTGGTCATAGTTATCTGCATCTTAAATACATTTATCCATCTTAGCTTTATCACTATTAGTAACATTTGCTTAATATTGTTCTATTGTCAGTTGTAATTCTTTTCAATTGAACTTCAGCCTCAACAGTTGGGAGAAGATAGTTTCATGATGATTTATACAATCTGCTATGAAGAAATGCTTTGTATTGATTCATTCATGGCATGTGGGTATTGCGGGCTGACCAGCATTTATTGTCCATCTCTAATTGCCCCTTGACACTTTGGTGGTGAGCTGCAGTCTATATGCTGTAGGTGACCCACAATGCTCTTGGGGAAGGAATTTCAGGACTTTGAAACCAGCAACAGTGAAGGAATGGCGATATATTTCCAAGTCAGAATGGTGTGAGATTTAGAGGGGAACTTGCATGGGATGGTGTTCCCATGTATCTGCTGCCCTTGTCTTTCTAGATGTTAGTGGGGTCATGGGAGGTACTGTTTAAGAATCTTTAGTGAATTTCTGCTATTGAGCATCAGAGAGAGAGGGAATGGATACTTGTGGATGTGGTGCCAATCAGTGGACTGCTTTGTCTGGGCAGTGTCATGCTTCTTGAGTGTTGTTGGAGCTGCACCCATTCAGGAAACTGGGGAGTATTCCATCACACTCCTGACTTGTGCCTTGTAGATGGTGGATAGGCTTTGAGGGGTCAGGAGGTGAATTACTCACTGCAGGATTTCTAGCCTCTGACCTGCTTTTGTAGCCACTGTGCTTATATAGCAAATGCAGTTGAGTTTCTGGTCACTAATAACCCCTAGGATGTTGATAGTGGGGGCTTCAGTGATGCTAGTGCCATTAAATATCAAGACCAGTAGTTAAATTGTCTCATAGTCTGGCATTTGTGTCGTGCAAATGCTCTTGCCACTTGTCAGCCCAATCCTGGATATTGTCCAGATCTTGTTGCATTTGAACACGGACTATATCTGAGGAGTCGCGAATGGTGTTGAATATTGTGCAATAATCAGTGATCAACCCCACTTCTGGCCTTATCATAGAGTGAGGGTCATTAATGAAGCAGCTGAATATGGTTGGGCCTAGACTACTACCTTGAAAAATTCCTGCAGAGATGTCCTGGGGCTGAGATACTGACCTCCAACAACCACGACCATCTTCCTATGTTCCAGGTATGACTCCAACCACTGGAGAGTTTTCTCCTGATGTCCATTGACTCCAGTTTTGCCAGGGCTCCTTGATGCCACACTCGGTCGAATGCAGCCTTGATGTCAAGGACTGTCACTCTCCCCTCACCTCTGGAATTCAGCTGGTTTGTCCATGTTTGAACCAAGGCTGTAATGAGATCAGGAGCTGAGTGGCCTTGGTAGAACCCAGACTGGACGTCACTGAGCAGGTTATTGCTGAGTAGGTGCTGCTTGATAGCGCTGTTAGTGACACCTTCCATCACTTTACTGATGATCGAGAGGACACTGATGGGGTAGTAATTGGCCGCGTTGGATTTGTCCTGCTTTTTGTGTAGAGGACATACCGGGGCAATTTTCCACATTGTCGGGTGGATGCCACAGTTGCAGCTTTGCTGGAGCGACTTGGCTACAGAAGCGACAAGTTCTGGAGCACAAATCACCTGTATTTTGCTCACTTTTGCATTTAAAGAAAAACTTGCATTTATATAACCCTTTCTGAGTAGTCCCGAAGTCCTATACAGTGAATGAAGAGCTTTCTGAAGCGTAGTTACTGTTGGAATGTAATTGAGGTGGCAGCCAATTGGTGCATAGCAAGATCCCACTAAATGACTAGGTAACTTGTTTTCATGACATTGGGTTGAGGATTAGGTATTCACCCAGGAAGCTCAGGAGAACTCCCTTATCTTGTTCTAAACAGAAAGGATCTTTTATATCCAACTCAGACAGCTGTAACAGCTTCAGCTTTTCACTCACATCCTTATGGCAGCTTACCTGACAGCATGGTACACCCTCAAAGATAATCCTGACAGCGCACCACGCCCTCAGGATTGACCCTCCAACAGTGCAATGCTTCCTCAGGATTGATCCTCTGACAGTGCGGCACTCCCACAGTACTGACCGTCTGACAATTTGGCACTCCCACAGCACACACACTGACAGTGCAGCGCTCCCACAGCACACACACTGAGGGTGCAGCGCTCCCACAGCACACAC